AGAGTGAGAGATAAAGGTTTATACATGCACTATCACACCACATAAGCCTTTTGTGTCTTCTTTCTTTATCATCTTTTTTCTATATCAATATGATTCTTCATAAACATGCTTTTAATAGCAGTGTGCCCTAAATTTATTGTATTGTTTTTGTCCTAGTTGTCAAAAATAATATATGTTCATTATAAAAAATTTTCAAAAAGACCAAAGGGAAAAACTTATCTATAACACCATAACCTCACCAGCCGAGGATCCCACAGTTATTATTTTTATACAAAGCCTTCACATTCTCTTGCTGTGTTTTTATGATGGGGGCATGTGGATGCCCCTGCCTGGGTGTTCTCTGGCTTCACTGTAATGCCTCAGAGACAAGGAGGCCTGGTATGCTGTCTTCAAAAGGATCTCAGTCTTTTAAGTCTCCTACCTGGCCAGGAATCCAGCAGTTCTTAAGCCTCTGTAATTGCAAGTATTTGCCAGCATATTTGATTTGCTCGTTATCAAAACTCCTCATCTGGCCTGCTTCTTGCTGCGTTGGGTTGATTTTTCATTCTGCTATTTATAGCCAGAGAGTTACTTTTTCCAGGTGAATTAGGAGGTGGTAATACAAGAACATCAGGTTTTGCAGCGAGTCGGTGCTCAGTGAAGTTAGGAAGGGGCCATGTTGAAATCAAGGACCTTTTAAAAGTACAAGTTCACACCCAGGCACACAGACCTGTGGCATCTTAGGTGGGGAAGGATTTTGAACCTCCATTCAAAAGCTTGGATGTCCCTGACAACAACCCAGTCCCAGTCATTTGGCAATGATGAGATGTGGGGAATATCTCGAGCAATATCCACCATCCGCCTCAAGCAAGCACATCTTTGGGCATCTCTGTCTGTTAAGAAATGTTCCCTTTTGTGGAAGTGAAATACACACTAGCATCCACCCTTGGTTTTGTCTCAACTGTGGAAATTCATGCAGCCCTCCAGACATTCACAGAAAGGTAGCACCCGCCCCCTTGTAGCATTTCCTGCATTTGGGGTTGCATGCACCGTGGACATTACCTGGTATCTTTGATTCTCTTTTGTCCAACTTCAGCCTAAATTCCATGCTGATATGTTTTCTTGTGGGCTCAAGAGGTTGTTGTGAAGTTGCCACAAGGTATGCATAGCAAACAGGAGGCATGTTCTAGACATAAAATTGCCGTAATTGCCTCTGGGGTGGGAGGGAGGGCCATGAGAGAATAATTACATCAGGCCCAGCCACAATGCAGCTCTGCTTTACATGCAGAACTTTAATTAATGAAACGACAAACACTGGTGGCACATAATTGGAAAGTCTCTCAGGCCCACCGAGGGAGGGAGGGAGCAAAGGCCTGGTGAAAGAGCCGTCTGGAGCCAGAGATAGAATTGCTGGGGGCGTGCTCCTGGCCTTGTCTTTTTCCGCTTGTCTCATTTGCTGCCTGCATATAAAAGAGTTTATTAGTCCAAAGCTGCCATTTATAACTTATATCTATTAGGGCGTGTAGAAGGATCGAAAGTTTTACTGTTACAGGCCCCAAAGAGTGTTATTTCTCACTAGAGGCCCAGTGCACAAAATTTGTGGGGGGTAGGGGTTGGGGGTGGAGACAGTGGTCCTTCAGCCCTACTTGCACCCTCTCACAATCAAGGATGCTTGCCTGCCAGCCTTCCTGATTGCCCCTAACCACTCTGCCTGTCTGATTGCCCCAACTGCTCACCTGCCTGCCTGATCTCCCCTAACTGCCTCTGCCTGCCTGCCTGATTGCCCCTAACCATCTCTGCCTCAGCCCTGCCACCACAGCTTCCTCCAGAAGGACATCTGGAATGATGTCCGGAAAGTCGTTTGGCTATCCTGTCTAATTAGCACTTTTATTATTATAGATAGTTACTTTGCTCCAAGCTGTAAGGACCTGCTTGTCATAGAGATAGAAAAGTTTTAATTTTTACTCTTGTTATGGCAATTAACTAACACAGATGGCCACCAAGAAGGTGAGTTACCAGAGAGAGTATAGCACACAGTTCTGTTAAGTCCTCTTCCACGAAAACAGTGCATGTTGTGCACTGTATCTGCTGGCTACATAAAAGAGTGAAGTTTCTGTCTGTCTTTGCAATCATGTGAGCGAATTGTCTGAGAACCCAGCCCAGCCTGGTTTGATGCTCACAGAATAGAGGTCTTTTTTTTTTTTTTCTTTGCTCCATTGGTGGAGATATCCTAGAAGTTACAGGAGATCTTCCTTTTAATTTTTCCTCGACACTCTGATTTTACTTATGTCTCTCCCCTTTGCTTTCCCTCCATGCCCCACCCACAACAGTAACTTGCTCCAGGCTCACTTTGCTCCAGTATCTAAGAGATCATGCAACTATAATTCCCAGCATTCCTGGTGCTCCCAGTTCTCTGGGCTTCCGTTTCTGGTCAGAGGCTGCCACCAGAACTACCATTCCCAAAATTCCTGGATCCTCACCACACTTTTGCTTTCTGCTTCTGGTCCAGGGGCTGCAGAAACCAAAAGGACTGGGAACTCCAGCCTGCTCTCCCACCCTGCTCTCCAGCCAGGCTTGGTGTTCTAGCGACCGAGGATGCCAAACCTTCCCACGCACTCTCGGGCCGACTCTGTGGTTCTGGCCAGCTCTGTGGTTCCGGCCAGCATGGCCATCTTTGTCACATCAATTTCCATATTCCCTCCTTATTGGCTGTGGGCACCACCATCTTTATCGTGAAGTGGCAGTTAATTTGCATATTACTCTATTATTATATAGGATTTGTATAAGATTTCCCATATTTGTGTGAATACTCTTGTTTTATGTATATTTACACATACACACACATACACATATATGACTATTCATTGTTTGGCAGAAACAATGGTTATAAATGGTTTAAAATCCACTATCTTCCTAGTTCCCCCAATATGAGGACATTTCTGGGAGGAAGTCTTGCTAAAGAATAAATTCTGATTGAACAGGTAGGGCCTGAGAGCCAGAATTTCTAAGAAGCTCCCAGGTCATGCAGCACTGCTGGTCCCCAGACCACACTTTGAGCAACAAGGGTCTAGAAAACATTCACAATACACCCAAAAGATTTAAGTGCCTATCACTACAATATATCAGATGTATACAGCAAAACAGATATGGTAGAAAGAACATAGAACACAGTGTGATATTCAGATCTGCAGCATATGGACTTAGTGACCATGGGTAACTCACTCCACCTGTTGAAGCTTTAGTTTCCATATCTGAAAAAGGGTATGACAATACCTCTCTCTACTTGTTGTGAGTATAAAAAGAGATACAATGCACATATATACAAGTGCCTAACACAGCTCTCTCCTATTCAATAAGCATGTAATTATTTTATCTTATAGGCCACCATGATAGAAATTGGTCTTATTAAGATCAAATTCCAAGGGGGTTTTTGTTCTAGGCACCAAACTGACCCAGGTCTACCTGGCATAGGTTTCTACACATAATGATATCAAAGGGATTCATTAATCTATGAAAATAGAAGTCATTGAGAGGGACTGTAGCCTGTGATCTGCTCTGGGAAGCACAGATAGTTGCTTTCTATTTATTTAGATACAAATAACTCATAAGGGATATTTGGCAAGAATTGACATCAGTCCTCCAGTTCTTCTAATTAAGAAACTGGTGAGAGCCATCCACTGTGGGTCCAAGAGGAGAGTTCAGATCCCGTTTGCATTCTCAGGTCACCGCTGCTCACCCAGCCCAGGGGTCTCTCACTCTCAGGGTTATTCTCATTCTTTATTCAGATGTGATGTGGCAGCCACATGCAGGCCTTCTGATGGGGGCCGTGTCCTCCCCTATAGGAAAAACACTCTTTCTGCACCTTGGCAATGGTGGGCACATTTTAAGCCATTTTTTTACTTATTAAGAATTTCCTCTTACTCCAAGTCCAAGATGAAAATGGGCTCCTCACTGAGAAGGCCGGGCTCCTTCCTGCACTAAGTGGCCCCATCTCCCCAGTGGTCTCAACTGAGGCTGCACTTTAGAATCATCTGGAGAAATTTGAAAAACTGCTGATGCCCCAGAACCTGCTCAAGGCCAATTAAATCAGAATCTCTGGGTGAAACCATAGTTGATGAGAACTCCAGCTCGCATAAGACACATTTTACCTTGCTTTCTACAATAACCATTTGTTATGACAGGATGCGAGCAGGAATATATGGGGCAATGCTATGCTGTAGTTGTCCTAACTTTTAAGTGTTTATAGATTGTTTCTATCAAACATACAACCTCTATTACTTTAAACACAAAGACCAGAGAGCTTGTGTATAGTATACACTGCCTCTGGGCATGACTGTACTTAAACTTTCTTAGAAATATTAGTTATATTTCCTTTTCATGTGTCTAGGAAACAAATTCATAGAAACCTTTCAAAATTACATACTGAATATATATGATTGTGGCTTCCTTTTGGCAAAGTGGGCATTCTCATTCTGAAAGACAACCATTTTAAAAGATTTTAATTTGTATTGATTTGTCTCACCTTTGCCTACCAGTGGTCACAGATAGTAAGTCATAGGGTCTTCAGTTAGCTAACACGTGACATGGAACCCTTTAAATAAGATTGTCAGTGTGACCAGGGGAGAAGTAAAAATCTATGATACCCACATCACTGAGAGTTGAGTCACAAAATTACTAGCCCAAGGTCACAAAGTGAATTGGGGCCACAGACAAGAATGTCTGGGTCCTCTTTAGGAAGTCCATTGACCTTGTTGACCTTGATATCTCCTCAAAGGAAGAATCTTGTGAATTTAGGATGATGACATCAACCTGAACAAAGTTCCAAAATGGCTCATTGATTGCCCCTTCCAAACTCCTTGAACCTTAAGTAAAGGTCTTTGGGAGAGAGGGAGCAAGATCAAGAACAGGGCATCTGGCTCACCTCCCTGAGTCTCAGCAACGTCCTTAGGGTTGAGAGTTTCAGAAAGAGGCCCTGAAGTTCCTTTAACACCGTGTCCTCTGGCTCTTCTCTCCCTCACAGCTCCGAATGTCCTGGCTCATCCAGGGAGTCTTACGGGGAAACATCTCCTTGGTGCTGGTGGAGAACAGAACCGGGAAGGAGCAGAGCAGGATTGTCTGGCATGTTGCCACAAATGAAGGCCTGAGCCTGTGGCAGTGGACGGTGCTGCCCCTCCTTGACGTGGCTGACAGGTGGGCCTCTTCCCATCCCCATCACTCCCTTTCTCTCTATCAGCCAAAATGCAGAGGGATCATGCCTTTCCTCCCCCATCCTCTCTACCCAAGACACACATCCAGATGTGCACATACACATGTACACATAAACGTGTGCAAACACACATGTGCACACACACACATACTTTCTGCAGGCTTACAGAGAGTACCAAGTTTCTCTCAGGGATGTAAGTGCTAATGAGCATTCACCTCCCATGTCTCTGGCCTGGCCTGATTGGCTGCCTCCAATAAAATGGAACATCTCATGTCACATAATAATCAGGCTTTATATGCATACAGCATTTTCTCTTACTTAATGCATTTTTTTTCTTACTTTCCCATTTGACTATTTATTCCTTAATTAACAACAACAAAACCTGCCATGCAGGGAGGGCAGGCCTTCCCATGTTCCCCACTCCTGCCCTTTTCACAAGGGAAGAAACTGAGAACCAAAGAAGTGAAGCACCAGCAAGTGGCACCAGAGTGAGGACCAGCGCTCAGGTAGATCCGAGTCCAGTGCTGGGTGGAGTCAGGTCCCTGAGGCAGGTGGATGAGGTGGGTGATGAATTCTTCAGGGAACAGATTCCATCACTAATGTCCTTTGTGACCTTGAACTTCTCCTGGTCTCAGTTTCTTCATCTGTAGACTGAGAGGGTTAGACTAGAAGATTGCTCATTTCCTGTGGCTCTGAAATGGAGCAGTAACTGCTAAGCTCAGCGGCCACTTGTTTTGCCAGGATGGCACCAGACTGCCACCTGCAGTCGGCCTGCAGCAAGCCGTGTTTGAGTACAGATGGCCTGGCACAGCCACTCACATGACGCTCTGGTGCGTCATGTTGGACCCCAGGTGGTTGGTGCTGATCTGTTCCAGACCTAAAGGGGGGTTGGGTTCTCTATAGAGGTGCCAGGTGAATAGATCTGGGAAAGTAAAGGCCATCTTTAATAGGTTAAGTAGCAAGCCCTACAATCCCAAGCAGCCTCTGCCTTAAACTCCCACAATACTTTTAACTTTCCCTACTGGTGGAGCTACCATAAAAAAATGAGAGCAAAGGGCTCAAGCAAGGGCAGAGGGTGATTTCAGGTGGTACACAGCTTTGCAAATATAAATTTGGGTCTCAAATTCTTTACCCAAACATCACAGAGTCTGCTCTTCCTAGAGCTCGTACCTCAAGCTCTGCAGTCAGAGGAAGAAACCATTGTCCTCACTCTGAGCACGGGCTTCCCACCCCTTCCATGCCAGTGGGTTAGACATCAAAGCCTTGGGACATCCCCAGGCTCAGTGTCCCCAGGACAAATGGGTTTAATTAAAGTGAAAGAAGGGGCAGTACAGGCACTCCCTCAGGATTGAGGGCTATGTGCAGGGGTGGAGATCAAGAGGGTGATGCCGGAGCTTTCCCTAGGGGGGATGCGAAATTAATTCAGATGAATCAAAGGGAGTTTTTCTCCTCAACCCAGCAGCCCTCTCTCGTTCATGGCCACTCCAGGGGATTTACAGCAAGTAAGATGTTGACTCTGTTCACTCCCATGCACTGGAGTTCTGTTGGAAAGAGGCTGGTCTCAGCCTCCCTCCTCCCTGTTTAGTGCTATTTATCAGATTGACATTTTTAATATTGATGAGACCAAACTCTCCAGTGGCGATTCAGACAAAGGCCAGCTTGGTTTGATGATGTCTCATGACCGAATAAGTGTGCAATTACAGAACACACAAATGCCCCCGTTCTCGGAGCCTGCACACCACTGACATGCTTTGATATGGGAAGCTCCCCCCACACCCCAGCCCAGAGCTGGAGATGGTATAGGAAGCATCAAGACCCAGAGGCAAATAGAACTGCCAGAGGGTGAGGCACAGGGTTTCACTTGCTAAAACCCAACTACACTGTAGATGTGACTGGCCCATAAAACGACAGAAGCACTGGGGGTGAAAGATCATAGGCTTTAGAATCAGAAAATCCCAAGCTTAAAAACTGGCTCAGCCACTTACTAATTGTGTGACCTCAGCCAGCTAATTACTGAACCTCTCTGTGCCTCAGTGTTTACATCTATAAAATTAGAATAATAACATGGGGTTATTATGATAACACTAGAGGCCTGGTACATGAAATTTGTATGGGGAGGGAGGGAGTCCCTCGGCCCGGCTTGTACCCACTCTAATCTGGGACCCTTCGGGAGATGTTTGACTGCCTCTTATAGTCTGGGACTGCTAGCTCCTAACCACTCACCTGCCTGCCTGCCTGCCTGCCTGATCACTCCTAACCCCTCTGTCTGCCTGCCTGATCACCCCTAACTGCTCCCCTGCTGGTCTGATTATCCCTAACCACCTCTGCTTCGCCCCCACACTCAGGACCCAGGATTCCCTCCCTCTGGCTGGCCACAGGCACCCATGATCCGGGCCAGCTTCACAACCGCGGGGAACCATGGGCAGGTGGTTTCGCCTGGGCTGCAACCACAGGCACTGCTGCCCGGGACCGTGGGGCAGGCGGCTTGTCCCTCTCCCAGGCCACAGCCTGGCTGATTCCCATTCCTCTCTCCCCAGTGTTGAGTGTCTGAGCCTTTATGGCATGAGGGCATGATGACCATTTGCATATTAGCTCTTTATTATATAGACTCATAGGATTATTATGAGACTAAGTAAAATGACCATCAAAAGCATGAATATATAGTACTGTAGATATCAATGAATTTTATTCTCCATGTTGCCCATTCTGATCCCTAAGTTATGGTAGCCTCAGATAATTCATTGAATAAGTAGCACATATCACAACCACTGATCTTTCAAGTCAAGCCATGTTCTATAAAAGAGCAATCATAGCATCCATCTTCTAGGGGCTTAGAGAAGGAAAGCGCATGGGAAACTGCCTGCCCAGAACTAAATGCTTAGTAATAAATAGTAATAACCTTCTCCCCACCTAATGCCTCAGAAGAGGCTGGGATGCCCAATTTAGCAATGATAACCAACCCTAAGATGGAATGAGGGTTTTTAAGAATTTGTTGTCATCAATGTTCTGTAGACTCCTTTTTTAAGGGTAAGTCTCTGATGGAGGAGAACCAAGAGGCACAGTCTTCCCTCTTTCTCCCAGGAAGGTGAGCTATAGCTGCCCAGTTTGCCAGAAAATGAAAATGGGAGGAGGGAGAAGGTAGAGGAAGGAAATAAATAAGGGAACGAGAAAAAAGAAAATAGACAAAAGACAAAGACCAACAACTCCCTTCCTCCTGACCTGGGGCAGGTGTTAGCACCTTTGCACCACCTGTCCACAGGCAGGACTTGGCTCCAGCTCATCAGCACCCAATTCCTGGACAGCTCTCCAACCATGGAACCCTCCTTAGAGACTTCCTTGTGTGTGGTCACTGTCCTGTTGAGACCTTCTTATATGAAAGACTTTGGTCCTAATGGTGTGTCCCAGTCCTTATGAGCAGGCAGATCTAGAGCTGAGCACTTGAGAGCAGAGAGCTACCCTAAGATTGCTGCCCCACACAGTAGTCTTTATGCAGTGACTCAAAGAATATGCCAGAGATACGTGAAGGCTGATGACAAGAAGACATTGATCCATAGAATGATATTTCTTCCGTCCATTACCAAACAGGCAACGTGATAGAAATATTGTCAGTCTGTCATTCTTATAAAATGATATTAACTGTACAACCATACTGCAAAGGGTGACAAGAAAATCTCCCAGAGCAGTGCCCAGTGTGTCTGAGCAGAGGCAACCTCCCTAGAATACAGATATGAGCTCTCAAGGTTGTTTTGAAGGATAGCACCAATTTAAATATTGGCTTGATGTGCGCTTAAAAGTTATTGCATTGCTTTACATCCACCTCATGTCACTAGTTTTCTTCATTTTCTCCCCACTTCGTCTTCTCCCCTTCCGTTCAATTTCCACTCTCTCTGCTGGAATTAGTTCTTTTCTTTTCTCAAAATGGAAGAAAGACAAGTTCTCTCCCCTTATTCTAAAAGTCAGTCTTTTGCAGGGACATGCTTCAACTTTTCCTCTTTATAATCGCACATCTTACTAAATGAAACACAATGTTCCCACACCATCCTAAACTTCCACATGTCTGCAGAGCAGAGGCAGATGCTACATTAAGCTTGTTACAAGGTGGATTTGGAACCGCCATGGATCAAGTCATATCCCAGGAAGCACTGCAGTCGGGCAGCCAAATAGAAAGCACATCACTCATCGCATGTGTGGGCTGCGCTATCGTTACGGAGGCTTTTAGTTGTGCACCACATACAGAGCCTAACAAGAAAGAACATCCCCTCCCAAGATATTTAGATTTCCTATTCCCTTTGCATCTTTTGCCCTAAATGACAAGTGGTGTGTTTCACAAATGCATCTTTCAAATGGGATCACTGAAACGCAGTTACATCTTCATGTGTTGAGGCAAGAGACTCCAAGAGCCAAGATTTTCTTCTGGTCTAGTCTTGTTTCTCATCCACAGAACCCATTTCATCAGATGCTCTCAGTAACAATGCTTGCCCTTTGTGTGGCATCTTTCTGTGATGAGAAAGGCATTAGGAGGATAGTAAATTCCAGTGAATGGAAATCCAGGCATGTCCAATGAGCCTTGGTTTGCAGGTCTAGACACACCTCTGAAGAAGTTGGGTTTAAGTCACATTTTTGTGAATTGAATCACATCTTTCTCAGAGCCAAAGGAAGAGCTCTAAGTAGTGGTGATTAGAGCTGGCAGTTGTTGAGTACTTACTGCCTGCCAGTCACTGTAATGGGTACTCGACATGCATTATCTCATTTCATCCCTAAACCCACCCCATTGGGGGAGATCCTCTCATTAATCCCCTTTTTCATAAGGGGAATCTGAGCTCTAACGAGATGATGTAACTTTCCCTTAACCAGTAGGCTAGTCTGCTTCCTATGGACTCGCCTGAGAAAGTGAGTGGCCAGTGCTTGGCATGTAGTAGAAATCTTGATAAATGGTAGCCATTGTTGTTAACAAGACATTTTAGTTTGGGATTATTTAGGCCAC